CGCCCATTCCTCCTCCACTAGTAGGATTCACTGCTACTTCAAATTACACTGCTACTCTCAACTACAGAATCTTGAGCTACCTTTCTTTAAAGTCTATTGCAAGGTACTCCTGAAAGAAGGCACCTTTGAATGAGATTGCACTTGGTTTTCATGACCACTGTGTCTTCAGCTAATGTGTATAATGCAACTCTTTCTTCCTAGGAGTTGGGAAAGGCAATGGAACTGATATGAAGGTGCAGATTATAGTGAGGAAGCAAGTTGTACTAGAATGTGTATGTGCCAGTCAAGGAAACTGCAAGGTAAGAATACTATGAAATCATGTCAGTTGAGTCACAGAAGCTGAAACCTGACTTACAGTTCAAAAGTGTCCTCCTGTAGAAGCTGAATACTGGACATAAAACTATCTAAATGGATGCTGTAAATTCTGAGAGGATGAGAAAGCAAAGCTTTGCTAAATCATAGGAACAGTAGTGGTAAGATAGTGAAAGATTTCCCTAGAAGTCACTTAAACACAAGTAGCTTGCTTTGATTTGAGTAGCTTAAATTGTTGGCTATTATTTTAGCACTGCTATTGTATTTGTATACCATGAATGAGTAGTTATTGTCATGAATTGGTCTCTTGTCTTTCTGCAGTAACTTTTCATAAAACTAAAACTTTATTCTGTTATCCAGCTCTTCTTTGATTCTGAAAGTGACTCTGTAGTCATTGGCGTGGAAGACAGCCCTGTTATAAGTGGTGATGTGAAAGTCAGATTTGAATCGCGTTCTGTAAGTATAACAGTGTGAGCACATTCCCTTGAGTGTGAGGGGAGGCTGCAGTGCAAACGGCAGTTAGGTGCTGGCTGTGCTGTGTGGGGCAGAATCTGTGTTCCTCCCCACTGACCCCTGTTGTGTGGGGAGGCCCCTCTGCCGTGAGTGATGCAGCAAATGTTGTTACATCAGACTATGCAGGCAGGGGAGACATCTTAGTCGAGTACCTGCTGCTTCTAACATGGGTCTCTTCCTTTGTATTGAGTGACCTAGTCCTGAAATAACTTCAGTGAAAATGGTGATCTGTGTGTGATATTGGGCTCTTCAAGTGTACTGACTCTGGCACTGTAGCTTTGTAAACCAAACTACTGAGGAGAGGTGGCTATGCTTGCTCTGCAAAAAATGAGTTGTTCAACAAGGTCTTTGTGTTTTAGGATCTCCCAAAAGGCTATGATGACTGCCCGTTCTTCTTCTGGTTCAACACTTCCTTTATTGAAAATAACAGGTAAGTGATCATAGTGACTGCCTTCAGATCCTAACTTCTGGTGTCTGAACAGAGCTGAAAGTTCATAAATATTGTACTGAAAGCTGAGAGCACTGGCTGAGCAAGCCTGTCTTAGCTTCTGTGTGGGTACTGGTCTCTGACTCTCAACTGTAACTTGCGAGCAGGCAGTTGGTGCACACTTTCTTGTGCTGTGTCAAGTGTTTTAAGCATATGTGAGCTCTTTATCTTAATCAACTTAATCCATTGGGTTCTTTCCTCAGTGCTTTAAGTATTGTTAATGAACTTGAATTCAAAAAGGTAATGCTAACTATTCAAACCAAAGGCAACTCTGCTGTCCTCTATAGCATGGCTGCCTGAGAGGCTGGAACTCATTCAGCACCTTAGCAGGTGTACATTAAGACTGGAGTTAGAGGTACTGATGCTTGCGATCCCAAAGAAAGGCTCTTTTACTTCTCATGCTTTTGTTAAAGTTAGAAATTACTGGGATTTTTCTTGAAACTAGAACTCCTGAGGGAGCTCCAGCTAGTGGAAGTTGGGCTTGTCTGCCTTGCTAGGGGAGTGATCTAGAAATGCGGAGATGGGAGGTCCTTCTAGTCTGTTTCCCAAACTGACAGATCTTGATAGAGAAACAGTGAACTTGCCGTATGAGAGAATTACTGTGTTCTCCATGACTGGAGTAGGAAGGAAACAATTTTTATTTAATTGATCCCATTGGAGCATGAGGAGAGCTAGCCATGAGTCTGTTTATAACTCTAATATGCTGAGCCAGCAATGCACCTTGCAGCCTAGGTGCAGACATCTGGTTAGACCAAACCAGTACCAGGAGAAATGTATGCCTGCTGTCTGACAGCCCTGCAACAATGCTATCTCAAAAGTTTCACCCAAGTGCTTTGTTTCTTCCAGGACTAAGGAGGATGCCCCACCAGACCTTCTTTTAATCACAGTTTAGTAGAGATTATCTCCCTCTCTGCCCAGAGAGTTCTAGTAGGCTTCAGGTGGACTAGGTCTGATCAGAAGTGAAACTGCTGTTAAGGCAGTGTTCCTATCTCTGTAGCTCTAATTCAGCCACGGCTGATGTGCAAGTGCTAGTAAGTGATAACTAGACATGAATTTGGTAAGCATTACAAGTGGAGAACATGCCTGATGAGCTCGACTGATTACTGAATCAAACCCTTGCCATGAGGAATGTCAGTTTTTTCTGCCTGCATCCCATTGGGCGGCCTTGAGCTGAATGTAACACTAATTTTACTCTAACAATCTTATGTTGTGGGGCTGGAGGGCAGGGGGGAAACAAGCTGTCAGGTTGACTGTATGTTTCTCAGACTACTTCAGATCCAGTGCCCTGTGCAGGCATGGCTGAAGTCTGTCTGAATTCAAGATCTGGGGCTGTATTTAATATTCCAGAGCTGAGCTTGAAGTTCTCTTGGCTGCCTGAAAGGAAAAGCATGTCTTAGGCTGTAAGATACACTACTGAATTTTGTCTTTCAGACTCTACCTTCCCAGGAATGAGCTGGATAACCCTCACAAGTCTAAAACATGGAAAGTCTATAGTGAGACATTTGCTGTGGAGGTGAACTTCATTGAACCATAAGGGAAAGCTGAAAGAAGGGAAACGCATAAAAGTAATCTCTTTTTCCTGGAGAATGTCTTGCTGCTTCAGGACAAAGTGAAGCAGTCTCACTTTGATGTACTGAATGTATTTCTGTGTAGATACAACTTCTCAAATAAACTTACATGAAGTTCTGTTGTGCAGAGCAATAATACTCTGAGGAGTTACTTAGCAGCATCAACTGACTGCATGTCATGTTACTGAGCTGTTGGATCCTTTGGAGCTTAGATGTCTCTATGTACAGGTAATCCCTACTTTATTAATCTGAGACAATTGTCTGTCTTTAAGAGCATTAACCTGATGGTGCATGGAGACCAGCAGTCTGCCGGAGACTGCTGGAAGAATGACACAGGCTCCCTTGGCATCATGGTTTTCCACAGGTCAGAATATGGGAATTTGAAGGGAGAAATAATTAGTCTACCTGTGCCAGATTACACTTCTTGAGTAGAAGTCTTGGTATTGAACCACTCTTCATCAGAAACCCAGTGATGTAGGGTTTTGAGCAACACCTGGCCTGGGAGCTGACTGTGGGGGTTGGAGGCTGCACAGCTGCTTCCCTGCTGCTGTACCTCCCTGCAAAGGGCTGAGATGGCCACATGCCCTAACCCTTCCTAAAGTCTGGATCTCACCAGCTCATGAGCACGCCAACTGCCTGGGATCAGTTAGCCAGGCTTGCCTTTACCTGCATGTGGTGGGTTTGATCTGTGTTCCTCTGAGCTAATACTGCAAACGCCCAGTGACCCCTCTTGAGCTATGCTGAGACCTGTAATGCACAAACTTCTGGGATGCTTGTTCTGCTTCCAGCTGTTCTCAGCAGTGCAGCCCTTCTGTGGAGACTGTTCATGGCTTCCTTGATATGAAACGTGTTGAGGTTTAGCGTCTTGGTTCTGTTGCTTCCTTAGTCTTTTTATTGTTAGGATCCAAGAGTGGAAGGGGTGTGACAGTCTTCCATAGTTAATACCTGGTTAATGAAGTAAGCAGAGAGATATCATACCTTCTGTGTGCTCACGTGAGGGTAGTGGTATCTAGGAAATACATGTGTGAAGTCAACTTTTGCTATTGCTGTGTAATTCCCTGGTGTTTAGGAGCTTGGCTGTTGGAAATTCCCACAGTGTTGGAAGCTGCTTCTATTAGCACTGTACTTCACGTGTGGAGGCTGAAACCTGTCTTGAATGACCAACAGCATTCTGCCAATTGTTTGTGGCTCTGGGCGCAGGATAGAGTGGGCCTGGGTCACTCAGATACATGTAGTCCAAGCTCCTGGGCAAAACAGGCCCAGCTCGAGCTGGCTCACACAACCTAGTTCAGTTCTGTGTATCTCCACAGATAGGGTTTTCACACAAGACTTAATCTTTTAACTACTTTTCTTTCCTGGTTGGAATTTCCCGTGTTTGAAGTTGTGGCTGTTGCATCTTGTCCTCCCCTTGTATTTCTCTGAGAAGGGCCTGGCTCGATCCCCTCCCATGAATGAGGTAACTGTAGACAGCAATAAGATCTCTCCTCAGCTTTCTGTTACAGGTGAACAAACTCTGTTTTCTCCACCATCCATCCTCATTGCCCTCTGCTTGACTTGCAGCAGTATGTCACTGCCTTTCCTGTACTGGGGAACACAAAATTGGATATGGTATTTCACATCTGCTCTGACAGATGCAAGAGGTATGAGCAGAGGGTCAGAACCGTTGGATTTGCTGGCTCTGGAGCCTGCTGTTGCAACTTAGCCTCTGCTGCAAGGGTGTGCTGGCTCACATTCAACTTCTGCAACACCATTCCCCAAACTGTAATGTTGCTTCAGAGGCTGCATGTGTTATTGCACATAACCTTGAGGGGCAGTTTACTAAGTTTAAGTGGTGCTGGCAAAATTAATGCAACCCTTCCATCTCTGGCTTGAGGAAAGGAAGAAATACCCAGTTATACAGAGGTCAGACCACAGATGCAGTGCTAGAGGGCAACAGAGCAAGAAGGCAGAGAAAGCCTCTGTGTCCGCACTGAATGTACCAGGGGCTGGAAGAGGATGCTGTTTTATTGCAGCTAGAAGTAGCTGATGACTCAGTTCCCTTTGGCGTAGCTTGGGTGATCAGATATTGCTGTCCTAGGATGCCCCTTCTAAGAGCTTGCAGGGCAGTTAAGGTGAAACTTCTTCCTGCTTATGGCGTTAAGCTCATCTCACACAGCAGCAGCAAAGGCTGTAATGGCAAGAGTCAGATTTTTCTAGCTGAAGCATGCAGTTAAGTAAAAACTACTGCATAAGCTTTAGCAAAAGAACTGCTGCTGCTACCTCTCCCTTCAGAGATCCAAGCACCACTGCTCAGAAGCTGGGAACAATAGCTCAACTCCCTGCAGCATGGACCTCTGGCTTCAGGGTAGTGGACACTCATCCCTTACATATGTGGAATTTAGGTGACCTGCACTGGAATCCAGGCATTCTTCTGGCAGGAAACTTACCCTTATAGTGTGTATCATAGTAATCAACAACCTAGAAATGTTGAGTTGAACCTTAATATTAGAACTGACTTTTAACTACCAAAGCAACAAACCAAGGGCTAAACCACAGGCTTTATTTTCCATAGCAGATTGTAAAATCTGCAGTTGTTTCACAGCACCTTGTTAGAGCTGATGCTTTCCATTCACTTCTGAGGGCTTTATACAGTCAGTGATTGCAAAAAGCCTTTTTCCTTTAATTCTGGAGGGGTGGTGACACTGACTTCAACCTTTCTTTGCTCCTCAGCTAGACAAGCTTGTTAAGTGTTGTTGCATAAACAGCAGTCAGGTACTCAGTTAATCAAATCAAACTTTATTCCTGTGAATTCTTATACCAACATTACGCATGTCTTAGCTGAACAGCTAATACATATGTACAGCTTAAGCAGCTGTGAATGGAAAAGTTACTGTTTACATCAACTTCAAAAAGTAAACTCTCAAAATGCATGTCTGTTTTGGCTACCAGCTTCTTGCTGTAGGTTCAGTCTAAATATCCTGCTTCTCCAGAAGCTTTGACTTTTGTATTAAAAACTGCAACCATGAGCTTTAAAAAATGAAAGCAAAGACAAATCTAAGAAATAGATTGATGTATTCCACTGATGTGGAGTCAATCCTCACCTTTTCATAACTATTAGAAACATGTACAAATACACTATTTCTCTTGGCTAGACAACTTTGAAAAGAGGAAGTCTAACCACTCTTAAAGCCCCATCCTCCTACCTGAATTATTTAAACATTTGGTATAAATTCCTTTTTAAAGTACAGATGCTGCACAGTATTCCTGCCCCTAGCGTACCAGTCAGTCAAGGTAAATTGGTGCAATAGACACTGAAGGTTCTGCAGCCATGCCCTGCTTTAACTGCCTTTTTCTCATGGGTGTAGGAAAGGGAGATGAACAGTTCTTGGTGCATGTGAAGGCTAGAGAAGCAAGAAGAGTTTGTCAAGCTCCAACCACCACCTTTCATTGAAGAGACCGTAACAACGCAGTGGAATAGCCAGTTTAAGTGCACCATGGCTACACTGCAAGAGGCAACAGGTATTGAGATGCTTTCATCTATGCCTAAAGTTATTTCCCTGTTTCTGGAAGCTGTAACATGCAAAACTGAGCTGTTCCAGCTGTAACTGCTGTCAGTCACTGACAAAGTGTGGTTGCTGTGATAAGCTGCTACTTTTGATCTAGCTCCAATGATCTTGGTAGGTCAAAGAGCTCTGTCTGTGCCTGCCGCAAGGGCAGGCTGTCACTTACAGCATGCAGACAATGTCCCTCTGTACAACTCCAGGCCTGAGTCATGAATCGTGTTGCTCCCAGACCTGCTTTGCCCTCTCCCAGGATAGGCAGTAGCTGCTTCTTACAAGGCAGAGCATGCTTGTATGAGGAATATCCTACTTCAGGCATGAAAGTGGCATCTAGAAATAGGCGTTACTGCATCATTTTGGGTAACGCTGACTAACTGTGTGTTTAATCAAGTAACATGACCAAGCAGGCATGCCCTCCAGGCCTGAAGGTGAAACAAACTATCCAGTCATACGAGCTTTTTCCACTCTGCCGAAGAGACACAGCCAGCGGCAGGACTCCTGCCCAAGTGCTATACCATGGGGCCTAGACCATGGTGTCAGTTGTCTTTAAGAACTCAGTTCTGGTTTTCCGCTCCTCTTCAGCTTCCTGTCCTTCAAGCACATGGACTCATTCACATCAAGGTGACCCAAACAAGAGCCTGCACAAAGTTACAATTCTGTGCTCAGAGCCAGCAGCTATTTCCAGCAGTCTCAGTGGTGCTTAGCATACTCCAGCACTTGTTGAAAGGATTTAGAAAATAATAAAATGCTGCATGGACTCCTTAAACCCAGTAACTATGTTTTTATCTCAAATGCAGGCGCCTCTCTGGCTGTAAGCTGTACAAGTACGAGGTAGGGGGTGAACGCTTCCTATTTTTATAAGCCCATTCACAGGGACAGAGTACACAAGTCAGACACCAACTGCCATGACCTTGGAAAGTCACAGAGCAGAAGGGAGCTGGAGGAGGGATCTGTATAAATCAGCCATCCTCAGCAAGATTAGACAGGGCTGCTGTTAGCGTGAGTCAGGCACTTGCCAGCAACAACAGGAAAAGTTCACCACCACAGCACAGATTTTAAAACACTGCTTTGCCTTAAACAAATCACAGCCTACTGCTGCACGTTACATTAAACCCAACAGGTCAACCTAAGTCTTTTTAGCACCATTACAGGTCAGGAAAATACATTTACGACATGCAACGTACCTAGTGCAGAATGTGCACAACAGTGATAGTTCTGCTGATCCAATTCAAGCAGCGTGTACACATCTCTAGAAAATCACCTGAATTTAAAAGATTACAAATCCTAAACTGAAATTGAGTCCCTAAAATTAGGTCACTGATTTGGCCCTGCTTAGACCATGATGTGATCTACAGGTTTTTGATCATCTATTTAAATGATCCTTAAACAACTTTTGTTCTCCATCTGCTAGAACATATCAGTAAGAATCTATTTGTTTCATCATAAGTTTCCGGCTGTACTCATAGGCAAGGAACAGTGCCCCGTTGGCCAGGAATGCACGGATCATCGTTGGCTTTAGTCCAGAATACAAGGCAAGTACACCTGGAAATGAAATCAGAGCCAGTTATCAATTTATTCAATTGCCTATCTGCATCA